TGTAGTGCCTCAATCTTTCACTTGAACGTGGAGATTTGCAAAGAGTGGAAATCCTCGTGGAGTTCTCCTCTACAGAGTGGTGGTGGGCTGGGAGTGTGCCCGACACAAAGGACCTTCAGTCTTAAAAGAGCAGCTCGGCTTTTTCGAAGCCTTGGCTTTAGGGGCTACAGCTAGCTGCGATCCAAAGTCTCATCTTGTAGTAAAACTTGAGACAAAATAAATTAGTGGTGGGCAGAATCCTAAATTGTACAATGTTGAACAAAAGACCATAGGGGACCTTTTGTTTGAAAGTAGCACCGATCACACCCCATTGTGTCTCCGCAGCACCCACCTTCCCATTGCCCCTGGGCTTGGCACTGTGTGGAAATCCTTCCTGCTTCAGTGAGGAGTCCTACCCGGATTAAGCAAACTGTGTGGCTAAACTCTATGAAGTGTGGCAACGTCACCCTGGGAAATGGCACACTGAAACCCTTAGCTCCCGACAGAGGCTGGCCTTAAGTGTTTTCCCCGCCCCCTGCTCTAGTTGATACTTCGTTCTGTGACAGTGGTAAAAGTAAAAAAAAAAAATGCATTGAAGGAGTTTCCCGGTAAGCAGGTGTTAACAACAACAACAACAAAAAATGAAACAGAATAACAAAACCAAACGAAAGAATGTGGCCGCAGCTAAGGAGATTTTCACATGTTGTTTAGCTCCAGTAAAGTCTGATCCAGCATCTGGTGCATGCTAAGGTTTTCTTCCTTGGCATGAGCCACTTTCTCTGCGGTGGGATTAGAAAATTAAGTCATGAATAGCTGCGCTTTGGACACAGTGGGGCTTCGCACATTTAGGCAGGCAGACATCAATCACAAACGCGGGATGCAATGATTAGAACTATGCATGCTTTTAAGGCGTTACTTGGTTCCAGACAAAGGGACCCCAAGGAGCCACAGGCACGACAGGCTCTCGGCACAGCTGGGGCACCGTCACCTGCAGCAGCCCAGCCCCAGCACGGAGTGCAAACATGGGACGGCGTTGGTGACGGCTCCCCAGCCGTGCGCTGTGGGAACGGGGACAGGTCAAACCCAAATAGCTCACAGAGCTGTTGTACAAACTGGAGACATTCATACCGTGCCCGCAGACACTTCAGAGTTGCAGGCCGTTAAAGGCCTCCGACACCACCTCACGGGAAACAACCATGACATAGGTAGGTTTCTGGTAACTTTTTCAACGATTTATTTCTATTACTCGCAAACAGTTATCAGCATGTTTCATGCACACTTCATTAGGACATTCTCTTAACGTTTTTAAAGGGTTCTATTATTAGCACGACATTCTTACCAGGCTGCGACAACACTGTGACACTGCAGGAAGCCTACCTTTCCGACAACCAGGGACTGCTGGCATGAGCTCCTGCTTTCAAAAGCTATTTTGCCCAAACATAAGTACATTGAATCATATTTCAAGCACTGTACCAGAGAGGAAGGAGTTAGGGGTACATGGAAGGTATCATCTATTGATATGTAAAGCCATATTCAGTCTTCTGTGAGGAATAAAATTCTTTTTCTCAGTATGTATCAGTTCAAAGAAGAGTGTTGAAGGGCTGTTATAAATATTTACCCATATTCATAATATGTATATTTTACCATAAAAGGTGTTTGGGGTTAAAGAGAACTTAATTATTCCACATACACAGAGAGATGCAGGCAAGGGCTGCCTGCAGCTAACTCCTTTCATTTTCATGTTTGCAGAATGCAAATGGTTTTCAACCCTAGTAGCTGAAGGGTGGACAGTCTCAAGCTTTTCTCCAGTGGGCTCATCCCTAGCATTCAGCCTTAGAGTTTTCACATGTAAGTTTTAGTCCTCATTCAGGGCCAGCTTTAGTTCGTTAGTTAGGCGTCGGTTTTGCTCAAGTTGCTGGTAGAGTTGGTCTGTACCGGTCAGCAAGCGCGTTAGCGGAAGAGGAGGCAGAAGGAAGACACGTTAGCCAGACACAGGGAGAGGCTATGGACAGAAAGAACGCAGAGACACACCTCGGGCCGGATGGCAGGCAGCCACGTGCCCGGTGCGCTACCTTACCCCACGGCCATCTGCCCTGTGCCCTTGTAGGGCAGGCAGTAAAAGGCCCAGCAGGGGGAGGAGGCATCAGAATTCCTCTTGACAGCAAGGGAAAGGGATGCACAGGACAGGAGAAAAGAGTAAATGTTCCTCTTGTACTAAAAACCGCCCTGTGGGCCCAGCCCTGCAAAGGCGCAGTTTAGGGCAACAGCTCTGGGAACGGATGCCAGGCAGTGATGCGCCTGCGGGTCGCCTGGCCCCTGCTGGTGCTCAGGGCATCCTAGCTGTGCCTTCACCACCTGCCCATTCCTGTCTACTCATCCACAACTCCTTCCTTTCTGCTTCTAGGCAGGCTGCCCATTCACGGGCCAACTGCCTGCTACTGCTTTTGTGACATGCAAACTTTTCAAAACAAGCCACCACGCTCCCTGTCCTTCCCTCTACTGCCACGATACGGGGTGCCATTTTCGGATTGCCATCCACCTCGGACGGCCGCGTGACCCAACACAAACGGCAAAAGAGCAGCACTTATTTTCACCCACGCTCTCTTAGAATGTTTACTTCAGAGGATGGTATTCTTATTCAGTATTCATGGACGTACACACAATGAACAAAACCTCACAAATGTACAGTAGGACCCAGGTCAGCTGGGGGTGTCAGCGACTGCCTAACTCTGCAGAGCTTAGAGGTCCTGGAAAGCTAAAAATCCTACCACCTGGGGAGAAAACATGCTGCCTGTAGCCCCCAGGCCTGTTGGAAAACTGAGCCGTTCTCCTGCGAAGCTGTTCTCTGATATGGCAGGAGCTGGGAAGGTGTTTGATATGCACTGTTTATTAACTCACTGTGACAACCTGCGCTCAACAGGGGCTGCCTTTCCTCTTTTGGTCACCCACATTTCCTGACCATGGCGGTACCTCGATTCCTGAACTTTATTCTTTCCATGATGCTGGCCCCAGAATTGGTTCTGTGTATCAACTGTCACTGCCTCCAGGTGGCCCCCAGACCCCATTATCTCCTGCGCCTTATTGGCTCACCTACTGCACAGTACCTGCCAGCTCAAAATCACTTCGCCTGTCTTTCTTCCCAGCTCTGTGTGCATAAGGCTGCCGGTGCACCTATGCCCCTGCTGCCTCCGGCATCTTTCTTACAGCCTATGTTTGGGGGTTGTGAAGTGTGAACCCTGGTGCACCATTTGCATTACTGTCAGAAAAGAGCCACCAAGGGTAGGCAGGATGTCTGTTTGCTGAGCCCAAATAAATGTCTGCCCAGCAGGAAAGGAAGAGCCCTGGAGGAGCCCTAGAGGGCCCAGAGGGCCAATGTCAACGCAGCTGACAAGTGACACCGGTCTCTACCTTAGCCTTCTCTGGGCCTGCTCTCCATTAGCTGGGTGCCTATGTGCTCCTGTGTATACTCCGAAGTGTTTCCCTCTTGTTCTGTATAGAATCCAGATGGCTGAGGTCCCTGTGGCCCGGTGTAGGGGGGACAGCCTAGGCTATGGCCTGGTCCTCCGGACTAGAAGCCTGAACCCCAACAATTCCTTGACAAGCCCAGCTTGCTGCTCCCCCTCCTCACTTACTCTAGACCGCCCGTGCCTGTCCATTCCTTCCCTGTTTCGCTCATGCAGGAGACCTAGAGCATGTGCAGTCTCTGGACTGCGTCCCAGAGACAGCTGCACTTCCAGCCTCAGCCGCACATCTGCTCAGCAGAACCCCGCGCTGTCATCCTGTCTGCGGCAGCATTACTCCCAGCAGGGGTCACTGCCATTGCTCTGGATTTAAAAGGGAACAAGGCAGGAATCACGGGCCTAAGGGCCCCGAGGAAAAGCAAACCACAAATTTATAGGAAGCTTCATGCTCTCAAGGCAAAGACACTATCCAGATTCTAAATTTTAAAAAGCCTCCCTCAGCATGACTAAAATTCTTTAATTCAGGCAGGCACTGTCCTGCTGAGCTATATCCTCAGCCCTAACATTCCTTAATTCACAGCTTCTTTAAAAACAATTTTGTCCCCCCTCTTAAGACTTTGTGGACTGACTGGCACTACTTTCAAATTGAGTGCAGTGGGTAGACACCAGGCCCGTGAGGATTCCCACATGGAGAAGATGGAGGGACAGAGCCAGGCTGCTCAGGAAGGAGAAGCTAGGGGGAGTTGCAAGTTTTAATTCTGTAGTATTAAAAAAAAAAAATCACTTGCTGTTGTGAAGTACATAAATGAAGGTCAAAGGAAACAACTGCGTTGAGTAATTTCCACTAAACTTATTGGTGGTGGTGGTGGTAGAAGAGTCCACAGGAATGGCTGTGTTTTTTAGATAATGGGGAAACCCACCTGTTAAGGTGATGCAGGTATAGTCCTTTATAAAGAATACATGATATTCTTAGGGGCACAAAAAGAAATCATGACCTGAAAACAGAAACTATATGTAGAAAACCTACGGGGTCATTTTCATGATCAAAATGTAGGTGCCCAACTCATGACCAACTTGGAAAAAAAAAAAAAAAAGCTTGAACTCATCTTTGTGCTATAAAAGGGTGACTAACAGTAACCCCAAGTGCCACTATTTGAATCCAACTTGTTTTCTACCTTTTCCAATATATAAAGTCCCAGCCCTGTGGGACAGCCGCATGCTCATCCCTCGTGAGCTGCACCTTCTACGCAGTAGCGCAGCCCAACGTAAACCTCTGGCAAAGGAAGACACTGCTTAGCCACACCTGATTCCCAGCAAGCCCTGGGCCCTGGGCCCCCAGGGACCATCACAATTCCTAAAAGCCATAGATTCCTGCCTGGGTCTCACTGGAGCTTCTGGAAACCAAAACTCCCAGAGGGAGATGCAGGCATGTGCACTGAAGAGTTCTGGAAGGAACTACTGCATTTGAAACCTTGACATTGACATGTGATGCTCAGAATGGAGAAAGGAAAAAAAAAAAAGAAAAAAAAGAAAAGAAAAGAAACAGCAGCGAAAAATTAACCCTTTAGATGCATGAAGCAGAATCATGGTTTTATTGAGTGGTGAAATGAAAACATCCATAAATAAAGAGGTAAAAAGAATAGCGAACAGAAACAGCGTACACAGTGTTTATTTTACACTAGAACCAACTATACAACAGCACGGTGTGTGCCCGGCCCTAGGCAGGTGCGAAAGGAAAGAACCAGGGTCAGCTGGAGAAGAGACAAATGCAGAGCTCACAGAGGTGGGACATCCAGCTTGCTGAAGGAGTCTCGGGAGAAGTGAAGAAAGAGACTTATCTGTGCGAAGACAAAAGGGTGGAGATAAAGGGGAAGAAAGTGGCACAAGGGAAAAACGAAAACCAAACGGACAGGAAAGCGGCACTTGCTATCCAGGCAAGCAGTGGACATGCAAAACCTACGGCCAGCCGTGCCCTTCGGGATAGTGCGTCCTTGGGTACAGGCACAGCCACCAGCGTCTGCACCTGGGGACTGCCATAGGCCAACATCAAGGAAGACCCATGAGCAGAATTTACGAACAAATATTAGGCCGAATTTCACTTTTAGGATTTTGCAAGTTTCCCATATAAAAGCTCCCAATTAAGCCCTGGGAGGGCCTTAGAGACAGATGTTGGAACCCACTCCTCATTTATAAATGAAGGAGAAGACACCCGTTTGCCATGGTGACAGTCCCGTCTCTAAAGCTTTTCTCTTTTCAGTGTGGGGACTCTACAACCTCCAAGGCAGCAGTCACAATGCCACAGTCTGGAAGCCACCATTTTTCTGCATGGGTAAAAAGCAGAAAGGGGCAGCTCCAGCTTTAAAGGAATCTAGCATGATATTAGAACCAAGAGTCACCGGTGAGACACTGCCAAGGCAGAGTTAGAGGCGGACAAGGTTAGCGCTCCCATTTGGTTAGCAATCCGGACATTAGTTGTGTGTGAATAAAAGTCTTCCCACGAGAACAAGGTGACCTGCTGCTGCTGTTAACTGCCTCATGAGAAATGCCCGAATTCATATGGAATATGTTGTGTTTCAGGGCCCAATATGTTTCCTGTGAGTGTTGTGATTCCTTGTGATAGAAACGTGGACAATTAAAGGCTGGGCTACTCAGTAGAGGACTGCACTGCCTGCAGAACTCTTGCAGGTGAGGAAGAGGCGATGGCTTATGGGCCCGTTCTCTAGGCTACGCAGGGCCATGCTCACTTCTCAGATCCTCAATCATCTGATCCGTTAAGGGTCCTTCCATGTACCTTCCTTTTATGCAAATGATCATATCGTACTTTAGAGACTCGGGAAACCAATTTTGACATCTGAGAAGTTCCCACACCAATGCTCAGCCCTCGAGTTTTACTGGCCTCTAGCTTAATTTCTTAAAAGAACAGAGCTCACAGTCACTCATGTTCTAGGTTCAGCACTCAGTGGGAGCCATCTATTTCAGCATTTGGAAAATACTGAAGGACTCTGGAAGGAAAATGGTTTGTCCAGACTGAGTCTAGCTTGGCCTTTATGTTAGTACAAGGTGAAGAAAGCAACGTCTAGCCTAGGTTACGCAAGGAAGCAAACAGCAAGGCACCAGGATGGAGGTCGCGGAGAGGAAGGGAGTGGCGGCGGCTGATCACAGAAGCATGAGGGCGCGGGTGCGAGCAGGCGGGGTGCATGGACATTTACATTGAAGTCATATCGTTGAGAGCGTGGTCCAGCTCTTCGCTGATGGCCTTGTACTTCAGTTTCTGAGCATACAGCTCGTCTAGGACCAGCAAATGGAATGACAGGTGCAAGGACATGGAGAATGACCAAGAGATGGAAGGTGAGCGGGACGGCCCCGGCGCCATCCCGACCCAGCAGCAAGAAAGGGCAAGGCATGGAGGGGTTGGTGCCGCAGCAGGTGGCCCGTGCAGGAGGCGTGCGTTTTGTTTTTAAATAAATCAAAACAAAAACAGAAAGAACAAAACCCATTAGAAAATAAAAGGAGAAAAACTCAATATGAAAATCACAGCAAACATGGGAGGTAGATCAGTACACTATGTGAGGCCCTGAACAAAACCACTGAAGGCTGTCTTTCCTGGTGTATAACAGAACACCCTGCTTTATACGGAGCTGTATTTAGCTACCCCCTGATGCTACAAACAATGGAAAAACTATCAAACAGCAGTGTTTTGGAAGGGCAATTTGCGGTTATAGCCTGGAACCCTTATGGGGCCCCACCCTCACAACCCTGCCTTCTGGACCAAACTAGACCACTGAGATGTTTAGTACCATTTAAATGATGTCTATGGTCTTCCCACGTAGGCTGCACGTTCCTGGTCCAGGTTGAAACACAAATCATCACACTTTTATGGTAGTGACGGTGAAGTTGACACAGTACTGTTTGGTAATGATGCAGCTCTCCTACCTTTTCTTTTTCTTTTTTTGGCAGAACCGGGGATTGAACTCAGGCCCTTGAGCTTGCCAGGGAAGTGCTTATTCTACTGAGCCATCTCCCCGGCCCCAGCTCTCCTACTTGGAAGGAGTTCTGAACCCAGCTGTTGTTCTGCCTTCTCTGCTATTTCAGTTATTATCCACACACCCTCCAGCTCCTTCTCTTCTGCCTGGGATATGAGTTTTTTTCTTTGCCCCAGCTAGACTTGCACAGGCCTCAGAGTGCACAATTTAGCATGCCTATGAGGAAAGCTGGGGCAAATAAAACCTGATGCTTTAGGGGAGAAATCTGGGAGCATAATCTCAAAATATAATGCCCTACTGATTCTCACCCCCACTCTTCCTTTCAGGATCTAAACTAATATTAATGAAGAAGTAAAAAAAACAAAAACAGAAACAAAAACAAGCACTTCCACTGAATTCAAGACGGGGTCGTGTCTGAAACAAATCCACATTATCACCATGTTCTGCCAATCAGAAGGGTCTACTGAGGACACAAAATACACCCAAGTCACTCTTGCCTATAAGCAACTACCCTGCGCCTATTGTGTAGCGAACTCGCCACAACGTATGAATGAAAGCTGCGTGGCATTTGTCATGACAAAGAGACGTGTGCTGTCAAGTGGTTCCCAGTGACACGGTGTGCTGAGGTCTCAGGTTCCAGAGTGTAAGAGCCACAGGTGAAGACCCCAGCGGACAGCAGGGAAGAGAGTGCAAGAGAGCAGACGGCTGCGGAGGTGGACGCTTGCACACTGCATGACTGTTTCTCCGGGTCAGTATTCAACTCTCAGGACGGAACCGAAAACAATACTGAAGCGCTTACCTTCTAAGTCGTCAATGCTTTTCTCCAGCTTAGTGACTGACCTCTCTGCAAACTCAGCCCGAGTCTCAGCCTGTAAGGATTTAATTTATTTGAGTCAAAACCGGTCAAGTTTCAGAGTTCTAGTAGCTATGAGCATAGGCAGAACTGGAAGATGAAACCCATGCACGGCACCGTGCAATGGGACAGGAAGCGACGCACCAGCGTGCTGCTGTCGTCATAGTGGCCGCTAACACGGCGCCCGCCCGCCCTGGACTAGCTCCAAATACCCCTTTGCTCTGGCTTACTGACTTTAAAACAATATAGCACTGACCAGCTCTAGAACGTAAATTTAATTAAAATCCAGTTGGCTTCATCTATAACGCTCGTAAGATTACCTCCTTCAGCTTGTCAGAAAGAACCTTGATCTCCTCCTCGTATTTATCTTCCTTCTGCGAGTACTGTAATTAGAAAGAGCATTCCAGATGTCAGGTGGGGGCTCGCCGTCCCGTGACTTCTAACTCTGACACCAGAGGCCGTGCCAGCTCAGGCAACACATGTTCAAGCTCTCCTCGGAGGTAACAGAGCCTCGGGGATCAGATGGCAACGACTCTGCATTCTCTGCTTTCTTGCCTATTGTTTTACATGGGACAGGAACAAGATAACGTATCCACTTGGCACTTGGTTGAGATTAAATTGGTGACTCACAGACCCAACAGAAAATACATTCTCTATTTTAAAAATTAAAAAACCACTATCCAGCCACCACCAGAGAGGTCCACTACTGCAGCGTCCACTACTGCCGTTTCCTAAGAACTGCCGCCGCTGTTTGCACCGGCGTGGCTTCTTTCGAGCGGGCTTTGGCAGGTGACTCTCCCACGCCCTGCTCCAGGCCTACCTTCTCAGCCTGAGCCTCCAGTGACTTCAAGTTGTTCGTCACAGTTTTCAATTCTTCTTCAAGCTCGGCACATTTGCTAATGTTTTCGATCAGAGGCAGAAAGGGTGGGAGACAAGCCACAGGAAGGAGGAGAGAAAAAGGAGAAGGAGGGGAAACAGTGAGAACCAAGTCCTGGAGATGAGGGGCCGCCTCCAAGGAGCCAAACCATCAGGGCCGGGAGCGTCACTGCCCTCCGGCTCGTGACAGTGGACAGGCAGGTGACCGAACTGAACAATACTGAAGAGTGGTGATTTGGCTTCTTATATGGCAGCCCGAGAGCATTTACGAAGGAAAAACGAAGGACCAAGAGAAAGCACTTAAAGCAAGATATAGGTAGCAGAGGGTGTGGTGAAGGTGCAGACATGACACCAAACCGACCAGTGGGCATTGGAAGCTGAGAGACGTCTGGGTTGCGGTTAAACCTACACCACACGTAAGCCATCAGTACCTTATCCTCTGCAGCCATTAATGCTTTCAAGGTCTGATCCATTATTCTTAATTGTTCTTCCAGCTGTCGAACTTGGCTGTTAGTGGACACAGGAAATGCACAAGGCCATTCACAAAATCAGTGTGCAGGTAAGGCATGCAGTGACACACGCACGCACGCACAGACACCCCACACGAGTCGCCGTGTTCCACACTCGCAAGAGGAGCCCGGAGCCGAGACAGGGAAGTGTGCAGCTGCCAGACGCTCATGCAGTTTAGTCACTGCTCCGCAGCGCCCCGCGTGTGGCCTCCTGTCACCGGCCTGCTTACCCTTCTGAGAGCTCGGCCCTCTCCTCTGCACGTTCCAGGTCACTCTCGATGATGACCAGCTTGCGGGCCACCTGCAGGGCGAAAACCAAAGACATGTACTCTGTGGGGCTTGTGGGCTTTGCACAGGTGGCTGGGGGAGGGGCCAGGTGCCCCCAGGTGCACTCCTCATCTGCAGGGACACTCTTCACCCCAGCAGACTCCAAGGACTGGGGCCAGATGCCAGAGGCTTCGCTCATAGGACCCAGAGGGGACAGCTATGGGACAGAGTCTCAGGGGCCGCAGTGTAGAACTAAACAGCAGTCAAACCATGGGAGAAGGAAGCAAGAGGCTATCTGCGCTCCCAAAAGCAGCCATGGTGAGACAAGACACATCTTACACTAAAAAGGTGGGGACTGCCAAAAACAAAACCCCACTGAAAACCTCAGAACCGCCACACGTCAGCATCCTGCCTGCAAAGGTGGAGAAGCCAACGGGCACCCAGGTGGGGAAAGGGCTAACCACGTTAAATTCAGGGCAGGAAGGAAGCCAAGACCACGTGGGGTCTTGGGAGCAGTCCCGAGTTAGTGGGAACAACATAAGCTGGAGATGGTAAATGGGGTAGGGGGAAGCCCAACATGATACAAAAAAGAAAAAATGAAAACTGTGGCAGTCACATAATCAAGGTGGGGTTTTTTTGTTTTTTGTTTTTTTTTGGTTTGTTTGTTTTTTTGCGGTACTGAGGATTGAACTCAGGACCCTGTGCTTGCCAGGCAAGTGCTTATTCTACTGAGCTATCTCCCCGGCCCCAGGTAGCCACATGAGATCTGCTGTCACTGGTGGTTTTCTTTTCAGTGGTCCTGCAGTACAGCGGCACTCTACCTCCAAGCTACATTTTCAGTCCCTCTTTTTCTTGGGCAGAACTGGCGATTGAACTCAGGCCCTTGTGCTTGCCAGGCAAGCGCTTATTCTACTGAGCTAGCTCCCTGGCCCCTCCAGCCCGTCTTAAAATGTGGAAATAAGGTCTTACTGAGTTGCCAGGCTGGCCTTGAATTGCAATCCCACTGCCTCAGCCTCCCGAGTAGCTACGATTATAGGCTTGCACCACCACATCTAGCTCCCTGGTGGCTCTCGCATGAGCATCTGTGTTGACTGTGGGTTTCTGGCACCCTGGAGGGGAGGTCTGCATCAATCTGTTCAGCAGCTGTGTGGCCCCTGACACTGGGCTGCCTGGTGAAGGGCGCTGGAAGAACCACTTGCACTGCGACAGCATGAGCCTCCTTTCTCAAGGGTCTTATGTGTCGAGGAGATAGCTCAGTGGAATAAGTCCTTGCCGGGGAATGGTCCTATGTTCCCTTTCCTGCTGGTCTTTTGGGGATGAGGGGTCTGGGCGGGGGAGGGTTGGTCCTTCTCCCAGTGCTGCTGATTCACTTTATGGTAAAGCTCAGGGTTCCCCAACAGGATCAAAGTGAGAATACCATGATCTGGAGACAAAGGGGTTTGGCTTCTCAGAATCACTCCTTCCTACCAAGGAAGTAGACAGCTTCGCTCGGGAATCAAGGCTGTATACTGCTCCCCCAAGGCCACTGCTGGGAGCCCCGAGGGATCCGGGCCCTAGGATCTGACCTCTTCATACTTGCGGTCGGCATCTTCAGCAATGTGCTTGGCCTCTTTCAGTTGGATCTCCTGAATTTCCATCTTTTCTTCATCCTTCTGGGCTCGGCTTTCAATGACTTTCATGCCTCTGGAAAAGACAGGCAAGCAGAAAAAAATGAAGACTGAGAGAGGACCGTCCCAAACTCATACAGCTCCGCCACGGCCTGAGAGGCTCACGGCACACGGCAGATCAGAAGAGCACAGAGCCACTCTTACGTTCCCAACTATGATGCAAGACTTTCCAGAGCTAAAGGCAGAAATAAGACACACATTTCTCTCTGTTCAGTATGAATGTCACTTCACACTTTGGGCACTAGGGAAACCGCCTGGGCACCTAACTTTAAACAAAAGGTGCAATGTCAGGGTCCCGTTTGAACCTGGAAGGCATGAGGCACGGGAGGCCAGCATACTTCATTTGTTAAACACACGATAGAATCTAGGATTTCCTGAGGGGAAGAGTCCCAGCTTCAAAAGGGAACAAATCTAGAACGAAAATAAATTTATCTTCCTGTCCCTCTTTCTACAAAAAAAACTCTTCTCCATTGACTACTGGCAGAAGGACTAGACTAACTCCCAGGAAACTGCTGGTCCTGACCATTTCAGACCTGTAAAAATGGGTGCCGGAGATTCAACCAAACTGCTCAGCTAAGAAATAGAGCTTTGCCTGTAACCAAATCCTCTCTAAGCAGAGGCGTTGGGAGACAGGACAGCACTGTTTTTCATATGCTTAGGTGCGTACTGGAGCCTGTGGCCCAATGTTACATTTCATAAAATGACCTCATCTGGAACATTCCACAGATTTATGGAATAAGAAGTCACATTAAAATAAACTTGACCATCAAATTTGACTAGGCAATGAGAAATAAATCACTAGGGTTTTTATTGTTGTTGTTGTTTTTGTCTTTTTGAGACAAGGTTTCATTATACAATGCTGGCTGGCTTTGAACTCACTTTGTAGCCCAGGCTGGCCTCGAACTTGTGGCCAGCCTTTCACCTCAGTCTCCCAAGAAACCACTAGTTTTTAATAAAGTACTAGAGTTCATTTAAGGAGACCTGAATTCCTATCTTGGCACAACTACAAACATACGGTCAGTTTGGGGGAAGAGATGTCAGTTTCTGAGCTCCACTCAGTTGAGCTATTTCCCAGCCTCCTTGGCATATTGTTAAAAAAAAAAATCAAACTCTTGGGGGCCTGCCCCGTAGCTCAGTTCTTTAAGTGGCTGCTTCAACAAAGCAGTCAGGCTCAGGTGGCTGTGGTTCGATCCCCACAACTCAAGCCAGCCAAACCTGCCCTGAAGGCATTTGGAGCAATAAATAAATAAATATATAAATAAATAAAATAAAGTTGTTGCTGCTATCATTATTATTACTATTAAATAAGGGAAGTGGAGCAAAAGATCTCTAGCTTTTTTTTTTTTTTTTTTTCTTTAGAACCAGGGATTGAACTCAGACCCTTATGCTTGCCAGGGAAGCGCTTATTCTACTGAGCTACCCCCCGGCCCGATCTCTAGTTTATGATCTACCATGATGAGACTGGTTCTAAGGTTCCCAGCACAGAAATATTTTAGAAGACATCAGCCATAACGTCAGCATAACAGTCAGCATAACAGCCACACTGTTACGTATATGCTGCTGCTGTGATCGGTCGTCTTAAAGAAGCCCGACGCAGCTGGGGAGTAAAGAAATGCTAAGCAGCAGTCAAGAATGAGCCCCAAACTTTACTGAAGAAGATTCTTTAACCCCAAAGCCTGAAGTCATTCTTTGCACGTGGTGGCAGGCAGGGAGCAGGGGCTCACTCCAAAGGTGGAGAAACGGACGGATGCGCGGCTGCGTTCGCCCGCCCGGGTCACGGCACAGGTGGGTCCGTGAGGCGTCCACTCCTACAGCAGGCCCTCTCTCGCCTCACAAGAGTCTTTCTGGATGTTTCTAATATGCTACACTTCAAGAGCTGAGCACAGAAGAGTATCTTCCAGAACTGATGAGGTTGGCTGCCAGACCTTATGGACCACAGTCTCCCTTTAGCACCATGAAGCTGAGTCGTGGGGGCACTAAGTCTGGTAGAACCAGGTCTCAGCGGAGATGCACAAGCACTCGGCTGAATTACCATGCACGCCCGTGCGCGTCTTATCTGAATTAAGCCCCAGTTCAAAATGATTTACTTCTGCAGAACTTGTTTCTGTTCTAAGCTTTTCTCACCATCTCTGATAAATAACAGCCCACAGTTCTAGGCCTAAAATTCCTTGACTTTTAGTTTTTCATTTATTTGACACAGGGTCTTACTATGCTATGCAGCTCAGACTTGTAGTGATCCTCCTGTCTTAACCTCCCCAGTGCTGGGATTACAGGTGTGCGCCACCACGCCCGGTCTCAGGCCAGCACAGCGCTCCCAGGGTTCTGGGGTCGGCACAGAATGCAGTACCAGGATCAAACTCGGGTCCTTGCACTTGCCAGGCAGGCGCTTAGACCACTGATCAGATTACCTCCCTGGCCCTCCTTGACACCTTTTGTTTGGTGTCAGGAATCGAGCTCTGGACATTGTGCTTGCCACTGAGCGATATATCCCCAGCTTCCTTGGCAATATTTAAAATAAAGTTGTTGCTGCTATCATTATTATTAAGCACAACTGCTCTTTGGTCAGTAGGAAGAAAGAACCGCCGAGTGGGCCCGAACTTCTCATTTCCGTGCCTGTCTCTCTCGGTGGTGGCGAGCTCAGTGAGGGCAGTTTTCCCTTCTACGTAACTCTGGGGTTCAGTACCATGCACTGCAGTTTGGTGCTCTGCTGTTAGACAGCACTAACCCCGCCAAACATGGATCAGCTCAGGCCACGACCCCACTGGGGGCTGTGAAATCTGCAAGCCTCCGTTTACGGCACCAGGAGGGGAGGCTTACGGCCCGGGTGGGACGAGGCAGCCTCACCTCTCGCTCTCATCTGCTGCCTTCTCAGCCTCCTCCAGCTTCTGCAAAGCTGTGGCCAGCCGCTCCTGAGCACGATCCAGCTCCTCCTCAACCAGTTGGATGCGTCTGTTCAGAGAAGCTACATCAGCTTCAGCCTGGGCAGAGAGAACAACGAGAGGCATCTCAGAGATGGGGGGGTGGCGGCAGGGGCATCTTCAGACACTAGGGCTGGGCTTGTGGTGAGCCACCTACAGGCCCCAGCAAGGGCTAGTCAATGCCGGAGTAGGGCGCTGATCCCGCAGAGAACATCACACTTGTAAACTTATGCACACAACTCTGCTGCATGGACGCATCACAGTAAGTACACTGTCGAAGCTCTTGCCCCCTCAGATCCCACAGCCCTGGGTTTAGCTGCCTCCAAGGAGACCTACCTTGCAGCCACCTCCTCACTGGGGGCCCAGGATACGCAAAGTCAACTTACCCTGGCTCAGCCATGTGTCAACAGCACCACAGCCATAACTGGGAGTTGTCACTCAACTCCTTTGAACCACCTTGTCACTTATAAAGGAACTGAATATTTTACACATCGTACAGAGATTCAATAATACAACCTAGGACCTCCCTCCAGGACTGCCCACCCCCACCACGCCCACCAACACGTCTTGCCTTTTCAGTGACCTCTGTGGAATAACTGGTCACGCAGGAAGGAGACCAGGACAACTTTCCCAAGTGTGCTTAAGTCTACCAAAATTTCTTAGGAGTCAAGGTTGCTATCAGAAATGTATCAAACGCCTAAGCAGAGAGGCTACCCCCCCCACGGGGTGACATAAAATGTTTCTTTCTTAGAAACAGAAAACACTTCCCGGCACAAGCATCCATTACTGTGTATCTGAGAATACGGCAGCATGGTAGTGGCGGCAGTTCAGTCCCCGCTGGAAGGGATGGGATTTACTAATTAGGTACCATCCACCCATCCTCAGTCACTCGGATGTGTTCTTACGAAGGGGTGACGGGTTTTTAGGACACTGGGTGCTCTCGAGACCTCCCAGTACACACACGGAGACCATGATAGCTCTCCACATACACCTGTCTTCTTTACTCAACTCTAAGCTGCTGGCACTCAGAAGATCAGTATTCTGCAGTGTGGGTCCCAGAAATGTCTACTCACCCAAGAAAGTGAAAGCAACCTCAATTAAAGAGAAATAATCCACAGACCCACGGCGGACTACAGTGCACACAGAGGCAGGGTGTAGTCATGGCCCCGAATTAAAGGAAAAGGAGAGCACTGCATCTTTTGCTCATCTGAATGGGGAAGACTTTAGACCCCAGATTTTATCCTGGGACGAGAAGTGACACCTTCCACCACAGTGAAGGATACAAACAATGCTTAAATGAACACTGACCCAGTGGCCTGAAAGTCAGTCGCTGTCACCACACAGGTAACCCTGGGCCTAGCCTAGCAGGTGACTACTGACTCGCAGTTGTTTTCTGATGGGGGAGGGGAGTAGGGACAAGTCTTCCCTGCACGGAACTGCCTTTTAAAAATCTCAAGCCCTATTAAAAAACAACCAGAGATGAGTACTCCAGTTCAAATAAGCTCTCCTCACTTTTCTGTATTTTCCTTTTCCATTTAGGAATCCTGGATAAATGAGAGACGGGACGGGGGATGGGGGAACCTATGGCACACGGCTCCCAAGGGGGGCTGTCTTTATATTATTCAAAGATCTAAAAGGTTCGCCACCACTGGTAGGGGTGAGGGAAGAAGCAAGCAATCCTGAAAGCCCAAACAGAGATGAAGAGCAGATAAATCTCTACAGAGTGTCTGAGTCACATGTTTTCTCCTTATCACTTTTTTTTGGTACCAGGGATCAAACTCAAGACCTTTTCTTTGCTAGGCTAGCACTTACTCCACTGAGCTATCTCCCCGGCCCTATTATTACTTTTTATAGCACTGTGAACATGGTGGGCTGTCAGAGAAATGGGTGACAAGATTTTCAAAACACTTTTGTCCTCAACAAAAGCTGAGTTTAAGTTCCTTGCTCTGTTTCAGATATATATGGGCCCAAACCTCAAGGACTTTGTACCCACACGTGGAAGGCAGGCTGTTTATGTTCTGGGGGATGAACCTTCTGGGCGATGGCTGGGCCTGTGTGGCCAGGTCCACACAGAGCTGGTCCTGCGAGGGGCAGACGCCCTCTCTGTTCATTCCCACTTCTGTCCAACGCAAGCAGCCCGCTCCAGCCGCTTCCTGTCTCGAGGCCTCTCCTCTCCCCCTTAGGTCTTGGCACCTTTCTGAGGAGCACTGCTTGGCATATGGCACTTGCCTTCCTGCACCAGCATTCTGTAGAACCCTGGACTCCCTGACAGTATGGGTTACTGTCCTGAGAAGTACTAGCTGCTAGGCCCTCCGCCAGGGTGCCCACGAGGGGACTGGGGACACAGACCAGGGACAAAGCAGGCCTGCTGCATGGAGAAGAGACCTATGGGTGGCTGCCTTCCCCAGGGAGCCCCTGAAGTCTGCAAAACAGGGTCTCTTTTTGGGTTGTTTGTTTTTAAAGCCACAAGAGTCCCTGGCTGGCTGTCAGAATCAACTAGGCGCTATGTATTAAAAATACAAACTTCTAGGCCCTGTCCCTAGAGATTCTGATTCAGAAGGTCAGAGAGAGCAGGCAGGAATCTGGGCTATAAACAAGCACCCCTCCCCTCCCTTCCCAGGAGGCTGTCAGTCCTGAGGGGGCAGCCCATCTAACTCTTTTGAGAACCAAGGTGGGGGGGATCTCCCACCCAGGGCTGAGTGTGCTGCTCGCTCCCTGATGTGCTGGCTTTTGACAGCATCTCCTGATGTCCTGGTATATCAGGGAAGCTCTGGGATTGGTGGCTGGCATGCCAGAGTTTCTCTCCCCGCTGACATCAGAGTAGGAGTTCTATACCACCGCTCCTCACTGCTCCCACAGAAGGGCCCACGCAGAGCCCCAGAGCAGAAGCAAGTTCTTGTGAGTTCAGTCCCTAAATGCAACTTTCATCGCAAACCTTTCTGAAATAAGGCAGGCAGGGTAAAAAATGCCATGTGAACATTAAGAGGGAACAGCTTGCTCACACAAGAACACGGGGGCATTTGTTCTCTAGTCTGGGGCCCAGTGCTGACCACCCAGGCAGGACAAGGGCCTGACAGTAGGGACTGAGCTTTCTCCGCTGTATCAACCCCAAGCTCCTCTGGGGTAGCCCTAACTCTGCTGGCTCCTTGGGCCCTGTCAGACAGGCCTAAGAGCCATTCTACTCAATTCCTTCAGATCCAAAAAGTTTCATTTCATAATCTGTTTTAATGTATTTGGTACGGGGGTCTCACTATGCAGCTTGGACTTCTAGTGATCCTCCTGTTTTCGGCCTCCCCAGCGCTGGGATTACAGGTATGAGCCACCACGCCTGGACTCGGTGGCCACGGCCAGTGCTACATGTGGTACGGGGGATCAAACCCTGGTACCTGCACTTGCCTAAGCAGGGGCTTAGTTCACTGAGCTATCTTGCTGGCCCTTATTTCATAATTTAATCAAGGCAGGTTGATTAAATTTTAACTTCTTCCCAATTTATTATGCAATCCGTTCCTGAGGCACCTTTACTGGCTTTACTTCTAGAAGTCGCTCCTCCCTTTGGAGGCCTCTCTAAGGTGTTTTCTAAGGCTCCCTTCACCACAGGGCCCAGGTCTGAGAGGAAGGACCTGCTGCTGTGTCCAGTCAGCCCAAGCCTACTGCCACTTGGCCATCTGTTACTTAAGAGCAGACGTAGGTAACAAGGCATTCATGCAGGGTCAAGACCCAAGAAAAAAAGTATTTCCAGGAATGTAAATTGCTCTTTGCATGCTCAGTCAGCGTTCTTCTGCCAACGGCTCATGTGTCAATACTGCCCATGAAGGAAGTCTTTCAGTGTGAAATGCTAGTTTCCTACGTTTCAAAAGTGCTACTGTGTCCCAGAGTAGAAGAAGCTGCTTAGAGACTGCTGCACTAAGAAAGGCTACTAGCAACGTCTTCCTGCAGATGCATGCGGAAAGCTCCACCTAGAACGGCAAACCTTAGGACCCTGGGTAGGCGTGGGCACTCCACTCACAGCTACTAGCTACTTACACAGAAGTCAAGGGCATGCCTAGCTCTCCCTTCACCCTGACCCAACAAGGGACTGGCAACTCACACGGGGAAAAAAAAAAGGCCATACACACCACCCAAAGTACCACACAGAGCACAGGACACACGCATCCTAAATATAGCAAAATCGCACTCTATCAGATTTGGAAGGGGCTGGGGAGATGGCTCAGTGGAATAAGTGCTTCCCTGGCAAACGCAAGGGCCTGAGTTCAATCCCTGGTTCCACCAAAAAAAAAAAAAAAATCACAGATTTGGAAAAGAAAAAAAAAAAAAAATTAAGACCTAAGATTTTCATGACATCCCCATGTGCCAACCAATACAACCAAAACAACCTTAAAACAGCAACAACGATTAAGAAAAAAAAAAAAGAAGTGTGACAGTTAAAGCAATTAAGAAACTGTATAGGGGCTGGTGAGATGGCTCAGTGGTCTAAAGCACCTACTTGGAACAAGCTTGGCACACACAGGGACCGCGGTTCAATCCCCCAGCACCACATGCCAGCCAGCCCTGCCCCCTGGTGGGCTGAGCTGGCCACACACACACACACACACACACACACTCAAAAGTGACAAATTCCCCAAACCCAATCTGCCTTTGAATTCCTGTTCCTGTTTGCCGGACATATTTGCCTTAGGAGAAGAAAGGAAGCCAGGTATCACACTCAGCAAATCTTTTTATTTCACGTAAACCAGAGTTGTAGGGCCAATGTGTCAACCAACTTGCTGTGGAAGACTGACCAACTACAGCCAAACTACACTTCTACCCTTATATGGTAAGGAAAGGGAGGGTGGAAAAACCACTGGTGACATCAGGGGGCACTCCTGGGACAGCAGATAAACAAGGCCTCCTCTATCTGTGCCAAGACCTACAATGCACGAGGCACATCTGCAACAAGGGAGAACAGGCACAAGGCCCTGCCGCACCTCCGCTGCGCCACCCATGAAAGCAGAAACCCCACCCGTGCAGCCTCCTCAGAGCCACTCTGGGTGTGCCCAGGAAGGCAAAGGAAGCATCCCGTGTCTAAGCCTCCAAAATAAAGAGAGGGATGTGAATTCTTGACAACCAGCTTATTTCCCATGGTTTAATAAAGTCACCTATTAAGAACCAGTTCCTGGCTGCAGCTGTTAGGTCTCCTTGTTCACTGGGTTCTACTCCAAAAGAAAAAAAGCACTGGTTCTATTAAAAAAAAAAAAAAAGACAAAAATAAACAAAACCCTTGTAGGTCATAGGACCGCCAGTCAACCATTACATCAAGCAAAGCAGCCTCGTTCCCAGGCTTGCTAAGGCCCACACACCTTGGAAAAACAAGTCAGGAGGAAATGAGGGGCAGCTGCTTTTTCCAAGGTAAGTGCTGGCTTAATGGGGCCAACTAATGACAGCCTGTCTGAGCCTCTGAATGTCGTCCAACTCTCCCGTCAATTTTGTGCAGTGGTTCATAACTTTGTCACTAAACCTTTATCTTTGCTGCCAAGAGAAACTGTTACTGTTACTTAACTCACAGCCCAAAATTGACCTCAATGAACCACACTGGAGTCCCAGTTTTAGAAGGGAGGAGCAAATTGGAAAGTCTCTCTCTAGTGGGCTTATCCAGAGTCTTTAAGTTGCTCTTTTATAAGGTTCTGTGTGTGCCCCATCACTCAGACTGTTTTCAAAAAAATTACTATGAAAAAAACTGAAGTGACTTAAACTGTGTTTGACAAAGTCTGGAAAAGAATGAAAGGTTTGTCCTTATACAAAGAGCATTGTTTGATAGTCACCTTTTCTTCTGTGCCTCATTTTCCCAAAGTAATAATGTGGCCTTCCATGTCCTTTGTCCTTTATGTCGAACAGCCCTCACTAGGCCAAGGGTAGCCCAAAGCTCTTGTGTACAGATCTAGGCCGGGGAGATGGCTCAGTAGAATAAGCGCTTCCCTGGCAAGCGCAAGGGTCTGAGTTCAATCCTCGGTTCCGCAAAAAACAAACAAACAAATCTAGAACTTTCTACTTCCACCACTAATGCTACTGTGGCCCCCACAATCCATGGCATCAGCCTACTTCCTCCTCTCCATTTAAGCTCCAAAAGGAAAGGAAGAAAAACTACTTACTGATTAAGGTACAGAGCTGGGCAATGTGGTGATGTGGGCCCAGAGTTCTTGCTCTTGTCTATCGTGTTCTACTGACTTCAACTGTCCAAGTACAGCTGGTAGCCAGCCAAAGAGGCAGCTGTAATTAATTCATCACCTAGCCAAGTTCAGACATCCATGGGGGGACTTGCTCTTCAAAAGCGAGCACTGAAAGTGATCTTTTGCTCATCAATCTCCTTATTCCTGTCTGGATTTTACTGCCCCAGTTATGCCTTTCTCTAATCAACCGCTTTTCCGTGTCTTATGCAAAACAGGCCTGGAAATTTCTGTGGGTAGCTATGTAGCCATTGCATGCACTTAAACAAAAGGACTTACTCAGTTCAGAACAGACGGGTATGTTAAGCACAGCTGGTCACCACATTATCGCTTGTCTTAAAATTCCCTAGGTGTTTGGGCATCTTGATTTAAAACACACACACACACACACACACACACACACACACTCAAAAGTGACAAATTCCCCAAACCCAATCTGCCTTTGAATTCCTGTTCCTGTTTGCCGGACATATTTGCCTTAGGAGAAGAAAGGAAGCCAGGTATCACACTCAGCAAGGGGGTGGGGAAGCCGGCCAGAGCATACACCCAATAAGCGCTGACAGTCAGCCAACTTTTTCCCTGCCTGGGAAACAAAGGAATATCTCCTAGTATGAGACCTTGGGAAGAGGGTTGGTCAAGAAAGGGTGGGGTACCAGGCCTGCGTTCTGTGTAAGTTAGCTCCTCCCCAGCACCCAGGACTGTCAGCCTTAACCACAGGGGAAGCAGCTTTCGGGAAGCACAGGGTTCAGGGACAGCACAATTCAGCATCCCAGGCTTCAAAGTTCCCTTGAGCTGAGCTCCCCCTCCCCAAAAGGGGTGGGGGTCTACAAAAGGAGCGACACCCCCTCCCTCCTAGCTCTCAGAGGTGTGTAAGCTTGCGGCCTGCCACACACACTCAGGTGGGCGACCCACCGCAACCACCCGGGGATGAAGCCCTCGTTGGAAAAGCACTGCTTCCAGAACCCTTCCAGAACGGCTCCTGCACCGCCCTCGCTCCCCAACGCAGCTGACTTTACAGCGGCCAGGCCGACGGAAAGGAGAACGCACGGCCGGGGAGGAAGCTCGGGGCTCCTCCCCAGGGCCGGCGCCAGCTGGCCCAGGTGCGCCAGGTGCGCGGCGATGACCCGGAGGACGCCGCTCCCGGGGCCTGGGGCAGGGTGGGTTCCTTACGGTCTCCCGCAGCTTCCTCTCCTGGTCCAGCTCGCGCTGCAGGCTGCCCGCGCGCTCCTCCGCCGCGTCCGCCTGCTCCTGCAGGCTGCGGATCTTCCTGCGCACGGCCTCCAGCGAGCTGCTCCCCGCCATGGCGAGGCGGCGCGGGGACGCCGGCTGCTGCGCTCCCTCGCCCGGGACCCTCGGCGACGGCGACGGCTCCGGCCCGGAAGTCACGGCCTGCGGGGCGGTGCCGAGCAGCCGGGGGCGGGCGCGGCCGGCGGGGCGGGGCACGGTGCGGTCCCGGGAGTTCGCGGCCCGCCTGAGGCTTTGCGCATGCTCTTAGCCGCGGGGCACCCGGAGCGCAACGGCGGCTGCGGCAACGCGGGACTTGCTGCTGGGGACCGCGGGAGGGAGCCACCGCGCAGCTGGGACTTCACCCCATTCCCAACAGCCTCCCCCACCCGGGGGCCGTGGGTAGCGGCCTGGCTGCTAAGGGCGACGCCTGCTGGCCGCGTTCCGCAGCCGCGATTCCCACGGCCCAGCCCCAGCAAGGCGTCTGGAGCCTGCGGACCGGAGCGTGGCTCCCGGGTGTGGAAAAGCCCAGCGCACAGCACCCCCTGCCCGCAGTCGCGCACAGTGACAGCCACGGACACGAAACGTCGCCTAGACCTCCTGCCCTACTCGCAGTCTCACCTCTGGACTGGGACCTTGAACACCGACTTCTCTGTACAGGGAGCACGATAGCTCTAGGGCCGCTCCCGGGGCGGTGGTGGGAAGACTGACATAATGTCTACAGAGGACTTTGCACAGTGCCTTTTTCTGCGCAAACCTCAAGTCCTTTCTGGATGTAACTTTCCTTGCTTTGGAAGGTCTGAGATGCTTTAAAAAGGCCCCCCAAGCAGGGCCCGCATCCCTGGAGAGCCTCCGGGCACCTGCGGGAAATCCCGACGGACGCGACCTCCGCCTGTCCTGCCCCATCCCCCTCACCCCCCGCGCTGCGTGGCTAATGCTTCCTAGGCGCAGGGCTTTCTCCCCTGCCTCGGCCACACAGAGCCCTTCAGGTAAGTTCTTGACGTGTCAAGTGTGGGGAAAAATGAAAAGACACGCCCGCCAACCCCCTCCTCCGGAGCCCTAACGGCGAGCCGCCAGCCAGCCGGCAGACCCAGCGTGGGCCCGGCTCGCCGGCAGAGGGAGCCGCGTGTCCGCGCCTGCAGCGCTTCCCGGCGCGTGCGGGCCTTGGCGGACCGGGGCCTCGCAACAGGAGCCGCTGGACCCTGGGAAGGGCGCTGCACAGCCCATTAGTGACTTAAGGCCCAGCTTTTCAAGCACCTGGCTAACAAGATTTTTCGGCGAAATCGTTTTCAAGCTGAGGTCATTACACAAGAGCCACTGCCTGGGTTTCAGTCCCAAAGATTCTGATTTAATTAGGCCAGGGTGCAGCTGATTTGAGTGTTCAAGCTCCTCAGGTGACTGTTGATAGGAAGATGAGAATGGCTAAATTGGAAGGTAAAGACCCACAGAAGCTAAAGACAGCCTGCAAGTACCAGGCCCATGACAATGACTGGGGAGCGGCTGGGGCGAGAGACAAGGGGCCCTGCACTTGCCCTCCCTCACCCTCTCTTGGGTGGAAAGCCAGTAAGAAGTTCAAAACAAAGCCACCAGCCTGAGTTCAATCCCCGCTTCCACAAAAACAAAAACAAAAAAACCAAAGCCACCAGGGATGCTATCTCCAAACCTTCTGCGGGAAGAGGATCTGTGGAGTGTTGGTAAATTAGAAAAATCTTAACAGTAGTAATAGAAAAATATAAAAGCACTTTTACACTGCAGAATGAGAGGAAACTGACTTCTCTTGCATTGTCCTTTAGTGACACGTTTCTTCCTCCCCAAATCTTATTAGTTTAGGAATCACTCTATGGCATTTCTCTGCCTTCAACATCCCTATATAATCTCCAAACCACTATGTCTTACAGTTAAGGGGAGATGATCAACACAGTAGGAATTTATATATGCATACATACATATATACACACATATATGAGAACAAGAGAAAATATGCCTGCCCCGCCCCTCTACGTCGGAACTTTTTTTTTTTCCAGTGGCTAGAAACCACCAAAGTTTGAAGAACCTCCCTCCCCTGCTGGCTCCACCCCCACCGCTGACTTTAAATAGCCTCTTTTCCATTTCTGCTGCACCCCAAAGGCCCCCTTAGACAACTTTTCAATAAAGACAGGATACTGCCACACAGTTATAATTATCATCTCTTTTCCCCTTAAGAATTGTAGTAGCATTTTCCTCCTAGCCTTCAGCCTTACTGGGTTATTTTCAAATTCTCTGCATTCTTTTCCATATAAGGAATATCTCTCCTGGATCTATCAGCAACTTTTTGGAAAAGGCTAAAGAAACGTCCTGCTGGAGAATTTGGGGGAGACAGACAATCTGATCTGCAGTATTCAAAGCAGGCTCAGAATTACATATGTGAGGTATTTGGATTTTTTTGTTTTGTGGTTATTATTATTTTTGGCTTTTTACTTAAAGCCAGGTACCTTATAATATAAATAGTTCAGCTAAATCAGAGCTCGCCCAACCTCCTTTTCAAGGACCTTTACTTTTTGCTGAAATTTTTTTGCCAGATTCTAAGGACCAGTGTCTAAACCACGTGGAAATCCATCTCAAGGTTTCCATCCTACAGAAAGCTTATACTGATTCCAAGACAGGAGACCCTTAAGTAATTTACATTTTACTCATTTAAAGAAAAAAAAAATTCTGCTGTTGCACTAGGGAGTTAAACTTCTGGGCATAGCTTTCCCTGGTGTTCATACATTCTTGGAATTGTTACCAACTTCCCAAGGAATTCTTTTCTAATTGGGCCTCTAGGCTTAATTAGCTCCTAGGGTGGAATTCAACTGTGTGAAAAGCAGTCGCTCCTTTAGAAATGTAATCCTTGGCCTGACTTTCTGAGGCAGAAGAGGCAGGCCATGCAGTCAGGATTCCAAAGGACTGTGCCCACAGCTTTGGGCCGGTCTGCATCACCCCTAAAAGTATGTGTGGTTGTCAGAGGGCTGACAGGTGGGGGTGGGGCGAGCAGGAGGGGCAGGGGGCACCGCGCTCACTATACCATATAAAGCACTGAGCTATATATAACTCCCTGCTTACTTTCTGGAGCTAGTGCCCTAAGACTGCAGACCCAAGCAAGTATCATCTTCCCAGGCGATCGTAAGGGCTGGATTAAGCCTTCTCCACTGAGAGAGGAAGCCTCCAAGTGTCCCTGAGCTGCACTCTGAAGCTGAGCTTTTAAAGGAGTACCGTTGTGACTAGGTCCACCACAGAAAACCAGATCTTCCCGCCCATGGGGTTGCAAAGGGAAAACAAGTCAAGAAAACTATTCTCAGGGTTTGCACAAACCTTGGCGACGATGACACACACCTTGGGGCTTTTCTGCCACCAGAAGGCAAGGTTCAGCTCTCCAGAGTCCAATTTCTGCCACTCTCTTCTCCCAACTTCTCACCCCCCCCCCTCCGCCGTCCCACCGGGTCAAGAAGAGGAGAGAAAGAGACAGAAATGTTTGCAGCAGCAGTCAGAGGCGATCTAGAGCTCCGGGCCATGGCATGCGTGCAGGTGGCCCTCCCTGTGGTCCCCCGTGGAGACCCGAGTGGCCACGCAGACAGGAGGTGAGCGAGGCATGGTGAGCGCGCACTTACATCAGTGGCCTTTTTCTCCGCCAGCTCCAGTTTCTCCTGGGCATCTTTGAGAGCCTCAGAGTATTTGTCCAGTTCATCTTCGGTGCCCTTGAGTTTCTTTTGCAGCGACACCAGCTCATCTTCCAGCTGGGAGTTGGCCGTGGGGGTATGGGGAAGGGAGTGGGGGTGGGGTGCAGCAGGCAGCGTGATCCCGCAGGGCGGGGTGTGGGTGCACAGACCACAGGACAAGGACAGGAGGAGAGAGAGAGACAGGGAAAGACAAGGAGGGAGAGAGAAAGAAAGAGACAGAGTTAGCCATTCGTGCGCCGCGACGTGCCGCGCGCCCCAGGTACCTTGGCGGCGGCCTCGTCGGCAGCCAGGAGGCTGTCCTCCGCCTTGTGCAGCTCCTCCAGCACCCGGTCCCGCTCGTCCTCCGACGCCCGCAGCAGTTTCTCCTTGGCCGAGATGTCTTCCTCCAGCTGAGGGTGGCGGCGAGCGGGAGGGCGGGCGCGGGCGGCCGGCAAGGACCGGGTGTTAGACACACACACACAACACACGGGCGCTTGGTTGGCTGGGACCCCTCAGGCTAGGGATCCCGGCGAGTTGGGGGTCCAAGGGGCCGTAGGTAATCTCCGGTTGCCCAGAGCTGGCATGGCTCTTTTACCCACCCGTCACCCCCACCTCCCCGGGCGACACAACTTCGGGGCGCAGAGGCACCGCTTGTCTGCCTGGCTTCGCGTCTCAACTCCAGAGTTCCCTTCTCCTCCCCTCAAATTTCGGTCCCAGGTCCAGGTTCTTTCTCGAACCAGCCCCAAGTCCAAAGACCATCAACTTCAACACTTGACTCTTTTCCCCTTCCCTGTCTTTCTTTCAAATGTCCCCAGGAATCGGTGTCCCCCTCCCCCTCCAGAACTGATCCCCAGCCTCGAGACTCAGGAACTTGGAGGGCTCAAACGGACTTGGCGGACCGCAAGCAGAGAAGGGCAGGAAGCGTCCGCAGACTGCAAAGTTAGGGCAATCCCTGGCCCAGCGCCCTGCCCTCCCACCGGCTCCCGGGCGGGGCGCTTCCTGGGTCCCCGGGGCGGGTGGCAGGAGCTGCCGGGCTCCGGCCGGACGCGCGCGGAGCCGGGGCGGCGCGGACCTGCTTGCTCCGGTCCTCCGCCGCCTTCTTGTCGGCCTCTGCTTGCTCGGCTCGGTCCAGGGCATTCTCCTTGTCGAGCTTCAGCATCTGCATCTTCTTCTTGATGGCGTCCATGGCGGCGGCAGCGAGGGGCCCGGAGGCGGCGGCGCGGGCGGCGGGAGCAGGCGAGCGAGCGCAGGGGCGGCCGAGCCGGAGTGCGAGCGCCGAGCGCCTGCCGCTCCCAGATATGTACTTTCCCAAGGGGGCGACCGCATTCCTCAAGGCAGCCAATACTTTTTTGGAAAAGCGGCCTCCTCCTGCCCCCTTCCCTCGCTCCTGCCTCCGCCCCGTGCCCCCTCCCCTCTCCCGCCCTCGCCGCCCAGTGGACGGTGGATATGACTATATATGGGGACCGAGCCGCCCAGGCGGCGGCCGGGCAAGGCCGCCCTCTTTCCAAACCTGCCGCCAGGGACCGGCGCCGGCGCAAACCTCTTCTTCCTCTGTGCCCTTACATCCCCAGGTCCCTGCCCCGAGCTGGGCAGGGGGTGGGCGGGCGTCGCCTCACGGGGCATTGGGATCCCCGCGCTCACCTGAGCCCCTCTCCCCGCAGCTGCAGCAGCAGCCCTGGCCCCAGCTGGACCTCGTGGGAGCTAGCGCTCAGCCTTCTAGGGGTCACCAGGGAACAGGAGAGAACCGGGAGCTGGGTGGACGGCTGGGGTCCCTCCTAGTGTGTGTGGGGGAGGTGTCAGCACAGGGACAACACACTGGATGTGTCTTCTGCACCTTCCCCCAAGATCGGACAAATACTTTCAGGACAGGGTAACCAGTTGATTTAGTTCCAAGTACAGGCTGGTGTGGTGATGGGCTGGAATTTAAGGGGCTCTCCTCTCTGTCACCAGCAGCTGTGTGGCCTTGTCTAGCAGCAGCATCTGGTCTCGTCATATTTAAATTTAGGAGGCAGATGAGCCCTACGGTCCCCCCAGAACTAACTTTTCATTATTTTCTTTACACAAATGCTAGGGAGTCTGCAGCTTCCCACCTTAGCGCTTAGCGGCCAGGTTGCCAGAGACATGGGCTGAAGGTTATCGTGGCTGAGTCATGGTGCCCACAGCTGTGACCCCGGGATCTCACTGGGCCAACTCTGCACTTGCAGCCCTGTTTGAAGGCAGGGAAATTTCCTCTCTACCTCTCCAACTCCCTTCTGCCCTGGGGGTCGGGTGGGGAACCTGCCTTTCCCTTTCCCAAGTGCTGGCAAGAGAGGGAGAGTTGAGTGAGGACAGACCCCCTGAGGCAGGGTTGGTGAGGGTCCTGTTATCAGTCCCTGCAGCATAATTCACAGCCTGCACTACAAGGATACTGAATAGTCCCGAGACGACGGCTGAGCAGATTAGGCAGGCCAAACATCTTGTAAGTTTTTCAGAGAACGATCGAGTTCCGCTCCAGGATTTTATCAAGTTACTTCCACTAACCCAACCACCCGGGAGGAAAAAAATACTCTGACCTAATGGCCAAACATTAGATCTATGTGTCTAGGGGCTGTGTGGCACCACACACTTTAATCACTACCTGTCAACTCAGCCACCGCAGCACAGACACTTTTCCAGGCCTCTGGGCCACATACAGATGTGCAGACCCTAATGTGCTCACCCCCACAGCTAGCGCTTAGTGCAGGGTCAACAATAGGGACTCGGGAGTTAGACCCTGAGCCCCAAACTTGGCCTGGCTACTTTCTTGCAGTGCCCCCTGAGCTGCGTTAGAACTGCTCTAAGCCTCTGCTTTTTCTTTGGTAAACTGAGGTAGCTGGCCTCATTTGAGTTCCTTTTTTTTTTTTTTGCGGAGCCGGGGATTGAACTCAGGTGCTTCCCAGGCAAGCACTTATTTAACTGAGCTATCTCCCCAGCCCCTTAGTTCATTTTTAGGGTTCTTTTATAAAGAGAAATTCCCAAGGGACCATGACCTACTCACTTTTCTCCTCTCCCTGGGCCTGTCTTAACCAAGAAACTCATTCAGGCCTCCTTAAATGAGCCAGGGCTACAGACAATCCATTCAGTCCCATTATTGAGCACCTGCTGTATACCAAGCAGGTGCTCATCTTTGAAACCCAAACACAAGTAACACAATCACATCCTTTGGGTGCCCAGCACAAGCAGAGGTTAAAAAAAAGTCTGAGAAAGAAGACAAGAAATGAGTAGGTCTGAGCAGACGCCAAAGCTTTTCTGAAAAACAGAAGGGAGAGGGGCTCTTAGACTGATTTTAGAGCAAGAATAGCAGTAGGTGGCAAGGAGGGCTGTCTATGAGCTAAGGGAAGGAAAGGATGATGTGGTTGAACGGCAGGGTTAGAGCTTGGGAAAATATGGTGGATGTATGGCACAGGGCTTGGAATTGGGCCTGGAATTCCAGGTTCAGAGGTCTAGGCTTTGTTGTATGGTTTGAAGCTATCAATTTCTCTTTACCGCTTCCCTCCTATTACTCATACAGCCCCTGTCCCCAGAGCTATATTCTGAGGCTGAAGCCCTCTGTGGTGTCCACGTATGGAAAAGGAGCTATACAGAGCTGATCTCTTAAAATCCTTTGGAACCCTAATACTGATCCCTGTACTGGAAGATGAACATGGCATGTCATGAATTCAGTCATTTCAGGCCCGCCAAATAGCTCAGTGGATTAAAGCGCCTGCAGGCAGGCCCAGGGGAGACTCTGGGTATAGAGATAGGAGAATAGAGCAGACTCACCCAGATAAACAGAAGGGCCATGTGGAGGAAGGCTGGGGCGTGTGGCTGAATTCCAGTGGCCTGGGTCCCTACAACACACCTTTCATTTCCTAAAGTGAAAGGGGCAAGCCTGTGTTCTTGGAGAGTGAAAAAGCTGGCCACGTCATCATCAGCACAACGTCTCTGGCCCAGCAGTTCTGTGTGAACATCAAAATCATGGTTGCAATTTCCACTTTTCTCCAGTGCTTGTAGTACTGAGTCATCGCTCAATAATTGTCTGTTGAATTACTTTTTATTTTATTTATTTGTTTGTTTATTTATTTTTTGTGTGTGGCCAGCTCAGCCCACCAGGGGGCGGGGCTGGCTGGCATGTGGTGCTGGGGGATTGAACCGCGGTCCCTGTGCTTTGCTAAGCTTGTTCTAAGTAGGCGCTTTAGACCACTGAGCCATCTCACCAGCACCTTGAATTACTTTTTAAATGACTATCAGCCATACAAAAAAGTAGCGAAGTACAATGGGGAGAAGAAAACAAAACTGGATTCAAAAGACCTTGTCTCCATCCACAATATGGGCTCTAAAGATATGGTTTTACTTTTTGAATAAGGAGTATAAATGATTAGATAAATTGGTACAAATGTCTCACAAATCCCAACACATACAAGGCATTTGTGAGGCTAATTGGGTGCATAGATGTGTTAGCTTTCCCGTCACTATGACAAAATACCTAAGGTCTTCAACTTAGAAAGAGGAAAGGTTTGTTTTGGCTCATGGTTTTGGGACTCTAATCTGTGGTTGGTTGGCCTGTCACATTTAAGCCTGTGGGAAAACAGACATGATGGCAACACGAGGCGGAACCAATCTCTTCACCTCACAGCAGCCAGGAGAAATAGGAAGAGAGAAACAGGAAGCAGTCACAGTGCCAGTGTCCCCTTCAAGAGTAGCTCCCAGTGACCTTGTTGCAGGCAGCCAAGTTAGATAGAAATATTATAGGCAGTCAGACAGGGCCAGGCCTGCGAGGAGACAAGATGGAAGACAAGGTGACTTTACAACTGGAAAGAGACAGACACTCCCATATGGGCCACACCTCAAGACCAAGACAAAAGGAAACACAGCTGCATACTTCCCTAGGGATGGGCATTAGGGATTGATACCCTACATAGGTATCAATCACCTTGAAAGAGCCCAACTGAGTCACTAGCCCAACCTCTAACAGGAAGAGACCTTGTCCTGGATTCATGCCTCCTTGTTACGTGACTGGCTTCCTCATTTGGTCCTGGACTTAATCAATTTTACCTGAGCAATGGTGCTTGTAATCTCGTTGGTTGACCGTAGTTTTGTCCCACCTCATGCCCACCTAAACGAGCGCCTATGTTCTCCATCACCTTAGACCCGCCTCCCTGCATGATTTTCCTCTATAAAAGTCCCCAGAAGAGACAACTTCTAGGGAACAACCCGCTTGGAAGCCCTCCTCCTGTCCTTCTCTTGGACAGGAGCTTTCTTTCCCTCAATGAATATGTTCTGCTCATAACCTCCGTTTGTTCCTAAAATTCATTCTTCGGTTTTAGAGAACACGAACTCATGCAGATCAGGTTGGGATATCATTTTTCCCTCTGTCATTTGCAGGTTCCCTGTATCATTTGGAGGTCATCCACCCAAGATCAGTTTTCCTTCCTGTATCAACCTAACTTCCATCCTCTGTGTTCCACCTCCTGAAGGTTCCGCCATCTCTGGTGGCACCACAGATTGACAACCAAGCCAGCCTTGATGGACAATTGAGATCTAAATCCCTTGAGGAAAGCGTCTGTCTGTGACGCTGGGCAAAGCTCTCTCTCGGGGGGGGGGGGTCAATTGATATATATTTCCAACTGCATTCCCATTCTCCCAACTGGCTACCTGATCTCCCCTCTATTGATGAAGATCTCATAGCTCAGATTTTCTAGGAGAGCTTTATTATTAAAAATGCTTCTCCTTTCCCTCCATAAAACACCGGTCCTTGCACATCACACTTCCCAATATTTAGTTATGGAAGAGTCAGCATGTGCAGAGTTCTCTGATGTTACACCTCCCTCGAAAATGCTTCCTTGAATATGTACATCAGGAGTTGTTTCTTTTAAAACCACCAAACAAAAGCCTCATTACCTGACTGTCCCAGCTTGCTTGGGAGCAGTAGCTCCTGTGTGCTGTGACTGCCCTCAGCCCACTGTGCTGACTCAAGCAATTAAAGGAAAGTGAAGAATCTGTAATTAAGTGGAGAGACGATTGCTTCCTCCATTAGCTCTTGGAATGCAGTGAGTTATGCTTGGGGCTCAGAGTCCGAGGAACAAGACTCTGCATGTTCTTCGCAGTGAGCACTGGGGAGTTTTGTTTCCAAGGGTTTGTGACGCTACGTACCACCAAGGGAAATAGCCTAACCTGGGAGTGGAGGCTGAGAAGTGTCTTTGGGCCACCGAGGATGCCAGCCTTCACCATTTAGTGACACACAGCTGAGAGGTCCAGGAGTATGCTTGCTACCTGGAGGGTTTGATGGACAAAATTTCTCCTTTTTAAAAAATTTTTTTTAAATCTTTATTTTGAGATAGGTTTTTTTTTTTTTTTTTTTTTTTGGAACCTGGGATT